TTATTACTAATTACTCTTGGTGATTTATCTTTAGAAATTAGATTTTTTTCCTTTTTTTTTTCACACGATGAAAATATGTTTTGAATTTAATAGGTTTACAAACATAGTACATTTTCTTTACATTTATTTTAGCTCGTCATAAAAATGCTGTTTTTTTATTTAGCTAAAAATTGACATATATCGATTCTGTAACAAATACCATCAGAGCAGACAATGCCATTCAATTTTTGAAAACATTAAAAGTGTTATGACAAATAATGAAAAGGTAACACATTTTTAATCCGTAAATGAACTATTGCGAATCTTGACAAAAATAAATTTTAACATTTCAACAATTTTTTTTGATTGTTTTGAGAATATTTCTTTCTAATGCAATTATCATGTAGTATCCTTCTTAAATAATATGCTTTTTTTCTTTGAATGGCACCTCATGGTAATATTTTTCTGCTTTAAATTATTTGTTACAGAATGAAGAAAGAATTGTTGAAATTCATCAGCTTAAAGGTGTACATTCTATAGCTTACAAAAATGCATTCCAATCACTTTTCGGTAATTTAATTGCGCAACAAGAAAGAACTGAATCAATGGAAATTGCTGTCGCTGTTTAAAATTTACTTTGAAATTATGATCCTGTATAATTGTAGAAAAAAACGTTAATTCTAAATTATTAATTGGAATTATTTATTATGAAGGCATTCTAAATAATTCTATTTATAACTTTTTGAAACATACTATCTCTATGCTTTAAAATTGTAATCCTGTATAAGATTTAACATTTCATATAAAACACTACATTTAGATTGTATAACTGTTAGTTGAAATTTTTGCCATAGGTGTAAAAGTATTTAAATTATAATTAAGAATTAGAATTATTTGTAATCATACAAATATGTTACTTAATTTGCGTCTTTTGCATCATTTATGTTAAGCTTCCAAAGCTGGCTTTTACTTGTGTTCAGCACTTTTGTTGTCAAATTTTGATCTCTATTTTAAGCTTTTAATTTAGTTCTTATTTTAAGTAAAAAATCATAATAAGAAAAGCAATTCGTATCGCTGAATTTTAGTAATAATATTTGTGTGTTATTGAAATATTCCAAAAATTTATTTTTGCAAAATTTCTATTTATGTTTTGAATTTTGTAAGATCCGGTACATAGCTTTTTTGCTCTTTTTTTTTAATATCAATTCAAAATTCTTTTGTTTTTATAAAATTTTTAGTTTTATAAATTCTATCTACACTTTTGCTTGTTTAATTGTACATTTTTAGGATTAATGTATTACATTATAGAACTTGCTGCATATTTCGTACATTTTTGGCAGCTTTTGTGTTCGTAGAATTTAAATCAGCGATTTTTTTTTATTAATTTCTTGTCTTTATTGTTGTCATTTCTTTTTCGTGTGCATTTTTAAATAGCTTATATTAGCTTGCTTTTTTTTTTTTTTTTTCGTGCTGTATGGATGCATTTTGGTCTCATCACGTCATGGATGTTATAAAAATTCGCAATAAATTTGCAATGACTCAAATTAGTTAATCTAAATCGTCCAGTAGAAGAATCATGAAAAGAGATTACGAATGATTGTGATATAAACATAACTGTTTCCAATTTCTAGGTGATACTTATTCTAAGCATTAGGTCATTAAATACAGTAAACTATAGGTTAAAAGAATGAAATTTTTCGCAATAAAATGAGCAAAGTGAAAATTTGCAAATTATTTGAGTGAAAATTGTTTATAAATCATAAAATTTTTTCATCCATTATATAAAAGCCAAGAAAAACGTTGAAATTTATGCATTTTTTTTTTTTTTTTGCTTAAATTAATAAGTATACAATATCTATATGCTACCATTTAGTTCAAAATAACAATTATATTCCATAATTTTATAAATTTATGTTTTTAAAATTCTGATTTTTCTTTTTAATAATTCAAAAAATGTAAATGTATGTAGTATAAACGTTCATTGATTAATTCATTGATAATTGATAATTAATTGTCGACCATTTAAATTGGTTTACTTTTCGCAAATTAATTTTACTAAGTTAGTTGATAAATGATACTGATAATCAATATGCAATGAAATGTAAAAGTGACCATCAGAAATATAATTCAGTAGTCTGCTTTAGCATCTAATTGTGTTTCTAGATTTCGTGAAATTAATTCATTTACTCCTATTAATAGGTCATTAAGAATGAATTTGTAAATTCCATGAAAATATGAGTGCAAAAATTTCTTTTCTACAAAAAAAAAAAAATGGAAATATAAAAAATTAAAAAAAGAAAATAAAATAAAATGCAGTAAAATATTTCAGTGCTAACACATAAACACACATTCGATGCTTTGTTTTATTGCATATTCTTCTGATCCTTGCACTATAGCTTTAAATATTTAATAAAATTAAAATTTATATTATCATTTTTCCTTTTTTGCTACTAATATATATTCTATATCAAATTCTTTACAAAAAAATAAATTTAAAATAAGTGAATATTTTGTTAAATTTTAAAATTTATACGAACTCTATCTTAGTTTCAATTTAAAAAAACTTTGTATAATTTTTTCTCAAGAGATTTCCAGTTTTATTTTTGAAAAGCTAAAATTTTTCTTTTTGAATCAAGAAAACAAAATATCATTTGATATGCATATTAAGCAATTCCAATACTCACTATCTTAATTTTTTTTTATTATTTAAAATATTAACATTTATTCCATCAATTTCTTTTTTTCTAAAAAAAATTTCAGATATTTTCACTTATTGTGTCTCAATTAAATTATCAACATGGGATGCTGTTAAACAATTACATGTTCTATTTCTAATAACTCTAATTAAATCAATTAATTTGATAAATAATCATTGATTACAAAGGAAATGTCACATTTTATCATAATATTTGTTATCATTATATTGTCATATATACTACTATCACTATTAGATAAATTATTGATATTCTTTAACAAGTTAATAAATATTAGTATAGTAATTCACTTAATTATTTAATTAATTAAGAAGTACAACTTTAGCAAGTCACTTAGTTATTTAACTCTTTCTGTCCTTTTAACTGCAATCATTTCATTTGATTTTTTGCATTATTTCCCTTCAGATCCAATCAAATCTTTTTTTTTTTTTGAATTTTCAATTTCTTTTAAATGCTCAACATTTCTTATTTGCAAACGGGCAAACTTCACTTCTTAACGATGATGATAACAATGTCAATGATAACACTTCCTCTGATTCGACTTTTATAAGAATGATGTGAGTTTATCCGTACACACAGATTTGCAGTTTTTTTCCTCAAGCCCTATATTATATATACACTTATCTATTTGTTTATTTATTTATTTTTTATTTATTTGATTTATTATTTTTTTATTAATCTATTAATCCTATCAAATTGGTAAAAGAGAAGGTATGGATTTATCCTTTTATTGAGAAAGATTCATCAAGAAATATCAGTTATTTTAATGTTGATACAATATTTTTTTTCTTTCTCAAGTTTACTTAATATTTTAATGTTGATGCAATTTTTTTATTTTTTGACGTTCACATTTCATGTGCATTTTGTGGAATTTAAATCCAGTAAGTTCTAATAAATTTTTTCCCCTTTGCATTTCCTTAAGTTTATATATAATTTTCAAGAAAGAAAATTATTAAATTTAGTAAATTTTCATCTTTAAAATATAGAGTAAAATGAATTACCAACTTGTATTTTAGTATTACCCATACGAAATATTTTAGAGTGAGTACGGTGATTATTTCCTGCAATATCTTCAAGCTTCGTTTTTTTTAATTTTGTTTTTTGATCTATGACAAAAAGCTTAATTAGTCTTTGTTGCAAAACCTAGTTAAATGGTTAATGTGAAATTAATGTATTGGAAAAGCATACTATAGTGTCATCAGTAACGTTGAAAATTAATTTCAAGAAAAAATACAATAAATGGAAGAAGTGATAGTTTAGAAAATTTTCAACCCAATAAAAACCACAAAAACTTTTTAAAATCTAAATTGTTCAGCACAATAATTTAATCAGAATTTGCTTAAATAAAAATTTCACTTACCCGCATTTGTTTACAAAAAACAAAGCCTTCTTACTTTGGTGATAATTTCATATAAATTTCAAACATAATTTGTTTAGTAACATTCAAAACTGATCAACAAAGAAGCGCTAATAAAAATCAATCAAAAGTTAAAATTCACAAAATTTCAGATCCATTTAATATATTATTTCAAGTCGAAATAAATAAACTTGAAAAAGAAAGACGGATGGATTTCATTAGAGTTAAAAGATGTTTTAAAATGTTATAAAAATATTAGTGAATGGTCTGAAATCACTTTATTAATGAATAAAAAAAGCTTTTTTTTCGGCTTTAAAATAATTTATTATTAAATTTGATTTGATCAATGCAATTTTCAATCTTTAAAGTCAGCAGAAGAACATGTATAAAAAAAAAATTTATTCCCTTTAACAAGCATAATATGATAAACAGATTGTAACAATGTTAGCATTTATTCTTCTATTGATAACGCTTAGTAAATGTTGACATTGTTAACATTCATTTTTCTATTGATAACATTCGTCAGTGATTGACGTTAGCTAAGTTAATGAAATTGGTTAACCTAGTTATTGATTAGTTTCAACAACAACAACAACAACAACAACAAAAAGAATGAATAAACAAAAGAAAACGATAAACATAACAGTTAAGTGGAAACAGTGTAAATGGGAATGGTTGAAATGAAAATCAAAAATAAAAGAGCATTATAATCATTAATTAATCTGATTATATTTTTATCAGCAAATATTTTTTTCCGTTTCCATCAAGAATCTGATCAAAGTAACACTCATAGAATTTTACAAGTTTCTAAAGATAGAAATTTGATAAGACACTTCATATATTACTAAGTGAAATTTAAAATTCCAATTCCAGAACCAAATATGATTTCAAAAAAAAAAAACATTACAGAGAATGCATATTAAAAACGAAGACTGGAAAGGTTATCGTGATTACTTCGTATGAGATGCCCGAATGGAACCACTTACACGGGTTCTTTGCACTCGAATCGTAGAACCATCAGATGACAAACTGCTCAACCGCTGAGCATTGAAAATGTTAAACCAAGATAAATATGAATTTAACATTTTTATCGCATCTTCTTCAGTAACACCTATCGATAATAGATACTAAAACTTGACAAGATTTAATTTTGCTTTATGAATGCAGAACAATTATATACTTAATTTTTTTTCCACTCATAAAATTGTTCAGTTTATAAATTAAATAACACCTGAATCTACTACTTTTCTGATTTTTAAAGTAAAATTAAAGAGTAATTTACGAAAGAAAGAAAGAAACCATTTTATTGACAATTCCATCCAAATCAGCAATTACATATAATGATCGATCCGCAAATAAATGCTTATATTTTGATAGTTCCAGGGTATTCAGCCACCTATAATAATATAAGCCGAATAGGCTTATCTTGAAATTAAAATCAGTGCCACTTTGCAGTGCTAAGGAACCCAGAAAAACTACAAACCTAGAAAAATTGAAGAATCCATAAATTGACAAAAATGCTTGGACCAAGAGAAAAATAGGAAGAAAAAAAGCTAAACAATTGCAACTTACGAATCAATAGGAGTGTTTTGTGATAGCGAACTTGAACTATCGCTCACCGTCAACATTTCTCTATCATTTCTTTGATTTTTATCCTTCAGCAAATTTCTCGTTAATTCAAAATTACCAACGATAGCACAAACTATTTTGTACAAATGCCTTCCACGAATCTGGAATTTAAATTTTAAAGAAAAACTTTCATTTTTTATTTTGTTAACAAATTTAATCATAACAAATTCAACCTCTAATGAGTAAACTGTATCATCATCATCCCAAGGTTGTTCCGGTTTATTCTTCGCTGAAACGGAAACAACTTCTGCAACTGCCGGATAATGTTTGGCAGCCGGACGTTTGTTACCTAAAGATAATAAAAAACCTATAATCATTCACTTAATCAATCACTGAACATCATCTACTATAGCTACTTCAACTTCAGCTATTGTACTTCTATTTAATTTCAACTTCTATTTCAATTACTGCATCCCTAAACGAATGGAAAATTAAATTGACAATTAATTTTTTTTTTTTTTAAAAACATAAAATATCATACTATAAATAAAAAATTTATAATCTAACAAATTTTGAATTGCTTTATGAATATTGTAAAATTTGCTTTATTCTTTCTTTTAAAATATGAAATGCCATACTAAAGTGTAAACAAACGCCTTAAATCATTATCCCTATAGTTTAACAAATTTTTGGGTTGCTTAACGTAAGTCTACACAAACAACCTATCATCGATAATTCAAATTTGGAACTATTATTAATTTAATCTTAAATAAACAATTTCTCGAAAAATTTCTTCAACCTAGTACACAAAAATTTTATTTTTTCTCAATTTACACAAAATTTTAATTCCTAATTCAAGCAAAATCATAAGTTTTAATGTAAAATATCAACAAATTTATGATTTATAGTATTATTCAAATAACAAAGGACTTTTTTTTCTTTGATCATAATGCTATATAAATATCAGAGTTAAAGTCAGCTGATTTCTAAAATGCATATTTTTATCAGCATATAAGACCGCTATTACAAATATGCATGTGTCCACCAAGCCAATCAACCAATTGCTAACACATGTCAAAAAAAAAGGAAAAACTATTTCAGCCAAAACTGTACTAATCAAAGTTAATATTTTCCTTCAGATATTATAGTTAAAGATTGAAATATATGCTACACATGAGTATATTTTTGTTTTCATTTCTTATTTCTTCTCTGAATTAAAAACAAAAGTTTTTCCTTTTTTTTCTTTTTTCAATATTAAAAATGAAAGCATACGTGGCATATTATTAACGTCCAAATTTGCATCTCGACTTGGAAGTGAACATACTTTTAGATGCATCTTACTGTCCCCAAGTAGGTTACCACTAAAATCTAAGTTTATAATAATTGAAATTTTATTTCACGCATGCAAAATTGTCACATGTAAAATGTCAAAAAAATGCATGAAAAAAAATTTTTGATGTTATTCCTACGGAACAAATTATTTAGTATATTTAAAAGTAAAACAAAAAATTTACCCATTTTCCAAAGAAAAACATAAAACCACTTGTCGTCGATTGATACCACCAGCACAAGATGAATAGCATCGAAATTGCAGCATTAAGCATCTATTTGCATGAATTGCATCGAAAGGTACAATTGCAAATGATCGAAAACCTTCCTCACCTTCTACTTTTTCTGTCAAATGTTGTGCTTTAGAAATATTGGTTACAATTAAGAAGTGTTCTTCATAATTTCCTGTAAAAATTTCATAAAATAATTGTTGAAGTGATGATATATATTATTACAATTATGATAAAAGATATTTGCTTTTTGTTTCAAAAAACGAATAAGGAAAAAACTCCGCACTAATTAGGATTATTTGTGAGTTTACAGAGTTCATCCGAATTTAAATTTATACTTCACTACTAGGAATATTTCTGAGTTTATAAAATTAACCCAGATAAATTTAATTTGTACTTTTCTAGTTCAATTGAACATTTCCAACGAAAATTACTTACTATCTCGTAAACGATGATAATCACATCGACGAACCGGAACATTAGCATAAATATTATCCGAATAGATAGCACAAATCCGGACAAATGATTTTGGTGGAGGAGGAACAGGACAATTCACTACAAATATGACATTGGTATTCATCTTCGCAAAAAGTGAGCGACCTTTAAACTAAAAAAAGTATTTTTTAAGAGGAAATGAAAAAGAAATTATGAATTATGTTCATTTAGACATTCAAAATTCTCAATTTTTCTTATATTCCAAAATAAATAAAAATGCAAGTTTCTAATAATCAAATAAATAGTTCAATATTTTTTTAATTTCGAAACTACAAAAATGATTAAGCTACCTATTTTTGACAACTTAATCAAACGAACAAATTAAAATGAATTATGCAATAAACCTTTTTCCACAACCAAATACAAAACACATGAAGCATGCATTTGCAATACTATTAAGCAGATATGTTTTACTGAGCAAAAAATAATATTATCTTAAGAATGATGGAAGTATTTCAAATAAATGATTTCAAATAGTGGAGAAAAAATAAAAGTTTAAAAACTTACGATATAAGCACTTTGACGACCTCCTTCCACTGTCACATCAAATTCTAATTGAAGTGCAGTAGCTTCCGACCTGGATAAACAATAATTTCATTTTATTGCGTGTTATAAATAACTTATAGCTTTGTGTAGAAGTTTTATTTCATTTATTTTTATTTTTTGTAATAAATAGAAGGAAAAATAAAAAAAGAAATTTAAAAACCTGATAGCTGAAAGCGGAACTAAGTTCAATGGTTCAGTATTTATTTCATTTAATGCATCAGTATCATCAGGAAAATTCGCCTAAATTAAATATTCAAATAGTTGAATAGATATGTGAATATGTAACAGACAACTGACGTATGACATAGAGTTCATTGCATAACAATTAAATTACTTACGTTTTTGTTATCAAGTTGTGATAATATAATATCAGCAAAATTCTCACTTGTTGTTCGCTCAAAATTCACTGGTGGTACACTGAACTAAAATGTTTTCAATAATTAGTTATTTTTTTCAGTAGACACTTATTTCCAGCACATGTCTATTGCTATAAACGTATTGTAAAATTCTCCCTTTATAATTTCATATTCAACACAGCCAGTAAACAAAAGAAATGAATTATTCAATGCCGAAAAATTTTAGCATTAGTGAAGTATAAAATGAAAATAAGGACTTATCATTTGTTGTCATTATCAAATAATAACGTAAAATAAATTTTTTTTAACTTCTGGAGAAAAATGAACTTTTGAAATAAGAGGAAATAAAAATAATATATTAAGCTATCTTTCATAGAAGAAATAAAATTATAATGTTAGAGGAAACAAGAAGAAAGACAGTTCTTTTGATAAATACGTACCGTTAATATATCATCACTCATGTCAATAAATGCATCCTCACCATTGTTGTCGTAATTGGTACTAAAATAGCAAATAACTATAAAATAATATTTGAAATAATAACCTTTAAATGATGACTATTTGTTCTTATAACAATGTCAAATCGAACTTATCCCGAGGATCATAATCAGTTGGTTGTTGAATGTCAGTCAATGACGGAGCTCCAAACAGTTGATCACGGCAAATTGATAATGACTCGATTGTTGCTGCCGCACGTTGTCCTTCATCATCCATTTTTACTATTCTAAAAATTTTGAATATTTCCATTTCAGAAATTGAAAACTTAGTTGGAATTTTATTAGTTATTACTAATATTTTTCCATTATTCAATGTTAACTTTCGCAAAGAATTTTATTTCATATAACTAACTCCATTTGAGTAAATATAACTCAACAATCTGATAAGCAAACAAATAAATATAACAAAATATTTATCCAAAAAAGATTAAGAAAAAAAAAAACATCTGTTTCATATAGATTAATCAGTCTATGATATTACAATGAAACCATTAACAATTAACAGCAATTCGTGAACTTCAAATGTGTAAAAACGAACAAAACATCGAAATACATACATATATATCAGGAATCCTAATATTTTATATTATTAATCCTAATATTTTATATGAAATAAATAGTTGTGCACTTTACTTAACTAGTAAAACACTGAAGTACAGCAGATGTAACAGAACACAAATATATTTCATAAAAAACTGACGGTTAAAATGAGAACAGCACAAATTAATTTAGGAGAGAAATTTGAAATTATAAATTTCAAAAATTACATTAGCACGAAGCATAATTTAGTAATCGCATCTTATTTTATAACATAAAATAGATGTCAGAGATTTAAAAAAGTCCATAAAGTTCATTTTAATTAACTTACAGAAGGATAATGTGACAGTGTTCATAAAGCCATATGCACAATATCTAATAATTCAGTAGTTCAGGCTTACATCCTTTATTATTTATAGCATTAATTTTATCTTATCATTTCACAAGCATTTCATCCAAATACTTTACTTAATTCATTTATCCAGCAAATTTGATATATTACAAAAAAGAGAATATTATATATATATTATTGCAGTTATTGAGAATATATTTTCATAACTAATGTAAACTTACTATTTTAACTTGATTATCAATAAATTTACGCAATAAACTATCCAAGTAGAAAGCATTAAATGAAATAATCTGATATAGGTAAGTTCAGCTATTTCAAAAAGATACAATCCGAAGTGCTATCTTTAAAAGATTGAATGGTTAGTTATTCTTTCTGATGATGAAATCAATGCAGAAATGAATAAGCTAATCAGACAAGAATAAAAAAAGCATACACTTCATGGTTTGTTTAAAATTTCTGTAGTTTAATATTTCAGCTTTTGTACCTTCGCATGATATCCAGCACAATTAATTTTGTTTTTGTATGGCAAATACGTGAGCTGAATATGTAGAAGAGATACAGTTCTTCTTTGTGTCCTTTGTATAAGAATTAATAATTTGTAAAAAAAACTACAGATCAAAATACTTTCATGAGGATCAGGATCAGATGCAATCTACGGACTTAAAGACAGGAATAATAGATGAAGAAAGAAAATAAGATGAATCCCAAATTTTGGGTTCAAAAAAAGAAAATCAAGCTGTTTGAACCAATTTTAAGATAAATTATCCGTAAACGGTAAAGAAATCATGAAACTGTTTAAAACTTCAATCCAAATAATCAAGTTCTGACGGTATTTCAAATTGCGCATTCAATACTTTTTCTTCTATATTAAACTTCTTTTTACACCATTTTTTTGCCGCAAATATGTTGTCTAAAACAATGGCAAAAATTGCATCTTCAATTTTCTTTCTTTTTTAAATTACGGTTCTGCAAAAAAAAAAAGGAAAAATAATCAAAAATTCGACCGCTTTTCAAAAACTTCGCTTCAACTTTCATATGTTCTGCTAAATTAATTAATAACAAAAAATTTTGTTTCCTGAATTGAAAGAATTATTTTCCTGAATCCAAGAAGTAATAATCTGAAGAACTATGAAAATGAGGAAAATCTTACCAGTCCAACGATTTGCTTTATCACGAATTTTAGCTGTCTCATTTTCAAGTCGTGCAATAGCTTCAGGGCCTTCCTCACTTAGTTTTTCCAATTTTTTCATTAATGTTTCATGCTTCATTTGCAATTCATTAATTTGCAACTGTAATTTTTCTCGTTCTGCAGTTGCCTGCAAAAAATTGTCCTCTTGAGGAATTGAAATAGAGAAATAGTTTACAGAATTTTTTTTTCATATTACTAACATAATAATTTAGTGCCACTAATTCTTATGATTTTTCAAAAATCGTCGAAATAACTCAATTAATACTACTTCTTGATGCTAAATTTATAATACTCTGTATAAAATTTATTCATTTCTATAAACTCATTTTGCTAGCTTATAAAGCAATCAATTAAAATCTGACCAATCATTATGCTGGGAGCCATATAACAAGAACATTCTGAAAACTAACTTCTTTTCCTTTTTTTGCTACCGCAGCATCAATTTTCAATTCTTGCAATTTTGTCTCCAAATTGTAAATCTTTTCATCTAATTCTTGCAACTGCTTTTTACGCTAAAAATGAAAGCACAAAAAAATAACCATAATATCAACTTTCTTGTTTGTTGAGAAAAATATTGAAAGTAACTTGGAATACTTTGTATATCCTTGATGATATATGGCTTATTATGCACATATAAACTTTTTACGTCATTAAAATAACCATCAACTACTAAATATTCCAAGCAATAACTTAGATATTATAGTAATTTGGTAATATAGTAGTATATCTAATGGTATTTGTTTTTTATCACAAATTTGTTTAATCTATGTTATTTCTCTTATTTCACCTTGTATTATCGTTGATTTATCTCTTTGTAAATTTGTACAAATATATTCTATAACAACTTAAAATATGCAGATATTGCTTGAAATATACAAGCTCCTCATCCTGATAATTAGACTTTTTCAATGAATTCAATTTAAAATCAAATCACCATTTCCTAATTACTAAATTCATATCGAACGTATTGCTTAAAACTTACAAGTTCCCAATTTTGTAATCAAGGTTTTTCAAATGGATTGAAGTCATCATTATTCAATTACTATATACTGCTAGAATTTATATGCTTATTGTTCTCATAATTAAAATTCTTTAATGAATTCAGCTCAAAATCAAGCAAAAAAAAAAAAAAAAACATACACAAGAAAAATAAATTTTTTTTATATTTGAAGAACGAAGAAGAAAAAAATTTTTTTACTATAATCACTGCTTGTGATGGAAATGCCCAATAGCAAACAAAAGTACCAATCTTTTCGCACTCAACCAAACCTTCATCAACCAACAGTTGTGTTATCCCTTTCACCGATTGCGGAACGATTCCTTTCTTTTTTGGAGCAATTTTTTCAAGATCTTTCATCTAAACTTTTTTTTTTTTTTGGAAAAAACAAATAAACAAATAATAAAGTTTTGTAAATAACTTTATTTGATAATGTTTTGTTTTAAAAAAAAGCCATATCGCTGCTTGAATTTGTAACCCAAAAATTTTGAAACGCTTTATGTGTTTTTTATAAAATTCGTTTTTTTACTTCTTTAAAAACATAAAGGTGTCATACTAAAATTTAAATCATAGTTTTTTATATCCATAGTTTTTTTTCTTGATTTAAAAAAAGTCGATCAGAATAACGGATAATAACGAGTTTCAATACTTCTCATAATAAGCCTATTTTATCAAAATAAGAAAATTACCTGAAAAAATTCGTTACTTTCATAAAATAATTCCAACATTCGGGATCGTTTCTCATCAGCTGTTAAACCTTTCTTTCTCGATGCCTTAATATGAAATCTTTTAACACATGACAGTATTATTCATGTAAAAACATATTTCTAAATAAACTTATAATTTTACACCAATAAAATATGAAATTTCCAAATTTTAAAAGAAACTGCCAAAACAGTCCAACAAATAAGTGTTTTTGCGTATGCTTGTTGCTTAATTTCTAATTATTTTAGAAATTAAAAAAAAAAAATCGAAAAATCTAAAACAATATTTGAAAATTCTCTATCAGATATAGATTAATAATAAAACCATAAACTTCATACAAGCACTATTTAGAATTTGGAATTTTCTTCCTATTGTCATACGAAAATAATTATTTGACAATCAAATAAGTTGACAAAAAAAGGACAGAGTACCATATAAAGATACTATTAATTAGAGATATTATTCAGAAATTTAAACGATTGATATTTCTCAACAATTACAAGTAAAACTTACCATACTGTGCAAAAATATTTGTTTTGATAGGAAATTTATGCAATTATTGCAATTGTAACAAAGGAGACGATTTTTTGATTAATTCCTAGAAAAAGAAATATTTTTTTGGGGAAATTTTAAAATGTTTTAAAATGATGAAAAAAATTTTTTTTTAAAAAATGATTTTCACCTGATCTATATCTCACTTCATCTCACTTCCTTTCAAATTAGCACTGTTTTATCCCAATTACCCAATTACAAACTAACAATAATTATTCATTGTGATAATTTTTACAATAATGCATATAATTATATTCATTACTATTTGTAATTTTCTAATTACTTGAAATAATTGAAATGAAAAAGAAAATGTCAAATAGATACGTTTAATACTATTAGCTAATTTTATAAATTTGTTTTTTATTTTTTAAAACATTGACATCTATAATCATGGTGACAAATTTTCATCAAATAAAATACAAAAATAAAAATATTTTGCAATGTATATTAAAATATAACAATCACATACATGTCAAATAAAAAAAAAAAAACATTTCCTCAGTGAATAGACTCGTTCCCTTTTTTCCTCCTTCACTATAATAATATCTATTTATCATTCATTCATACGTCTCTCATTTTCAACACAATGAATACTAATTTCCCACGCATTATAACAATCATATATGTTCAACAACTACAATACAACAAATGAATAACGTACGTATCACGTGAAAAGTTAAGATATAAGATATATAATCTTATTAAAATCAGTGCTTTTCTCAATGATTTTGTTATATGTAAATATAGATTGCTATGTATAGCACATGTAATTTTTACTAAATTTTTTTAAAACATTAATTCATCAATATTGATTAGTTTCGCATTTTATTGAAATTATTAAATTCTTGCATGATCACTCCGAAATTTCTGTGTTTTCTAGCGATG